ATTGTTGACAAAACCTGTTTACACAAACCCACGCTGCTTTCTCCACCACCGACGCTGCCTTCCCCACGACCCACACTGTCTTCCCCACCAACTATGCTGTCTTCCTCACCAATTGTTCTGTCTTTCCCACAGTGGTGGGCACAGCTAACTGAAAAGTTAGCTTTGTTAACTGCTAATCCGCTAACTAGAAAATTAGCTCCGCTAATGCTAAATTGCTAAACGGCCGAAAAAATTAGCAGAAGCTAACGCTAAACTAACTTTTTCATGTGAATTCAGATTCAGTTTAGTTTTTTGATCTTTTACTTTTCATACTTTTAGAACAGCCCTGGAGAGCTTCATAATAAGATATAAGGTTTTAATGAGACAAGATTGCCCAAAAATAAAGAAAACTCTGATACAAAGTGAAATTTTGTTAATACTTTAGGCTAATGGAAAGGACAGTGTTGCAAACAGTACTCTTCTTTAATACTCAAGTATAAGTACCATTGTTGTAAAATAATGAAGTAAAACTACTCGAGTAACTTTTTTTTGGTATTTGCTTTTTAAAAAGTACACTGAAATTGTTCACTACTTTTACTTTTACTTAAGTACTGAAGTCTGTTATTACTTTTACTTCACTACAATCTGATAATGATACGTTACTCACTGCAGACTCCTCAACAACACCCTCAGGTGGAACAGAAACGTCTCCCCAATTCATAACGATAAGTGACAGTGCATTCCAGTGATCACTGATGCTGTAAGACTATAACAATGCTGCTGCTGCGTTGACAAGTCACATTTACATGTAGTCAGGCAATAGCGTGCCTGACCGACTGTCGGAGAAACTCCCACAACAGACAGGAACAAACACGTGCACCGTTGAAAAGGCATTGCTTTCCGACTACCAGTAACATATGAATTTTTATTTAGTGGACTCAAAGTTAGTGGAACTTTATTTAGCGGAAGCTAATTAGTCTGCTAACGGTTTCTGAAGTTAGCAGAAATGCTAATCTTCTAAACAAAAGTTAGTTCTGCTAATTAGCAGTTAGCGGAACTGTGCCCACCACTGCTTCCCCACCACCCACTATTTTTTGGCAGAAGGTTGATAATCATCTGGGTTTTCAGCACTATTTCTGGTATCCTGGGCATTGTTTTCTGTCACAAACTCCTCAAAACTATGAGATTCATCTGCACTGACACTTCAAATGTGTGTTAGAAATATCACTTGGGAAGGGAAGAGTCCTAGTTTGCCAGAGAGTGAGGTACTCCTTACTGCTAGGCTTGGTGACAAAGGTGTACTGAATTAGCACTTCCACAATGCAACGTGGTCTCCCAGATTTTTTTCATACTGCGCACACTGAGCACATAGACTTGTTCTACCATATGTAGGCCTTCCAGCTTTCTCCCACCAGTTCTGAAGCTGCTAGAATTTTGGCATAGTATTATGGGACTGACACTGGCTTGCAAGCCATGATATTACAGGACCGACAGTGAAAGCCTTAATACAGCCCTTCAATTTTAATCAGTGTAGCTTGATTGATAGCGCACTCAGCTCTCACACATTGAGGTTTGTGGTTCGATTCCCTGTATGGGTGGAAACATTATGATGTGTTTCCTTAAGACACCCGCTGTCACTCTTCACCTATCAGTAAAATAGGTAACTGGGTAATAGTCGAATGGTGTGGGTTGCATCCTGGGGACAAAATTTACCTAATTTGACTGAAACGCTCTGCATAACAAGTGGCTTTCTATATAGTAGTATGTCACTGATGTCAGCTAGGCTTCTATACTTTGTACATGCACTTGTAGAAGTACAGTAAATATTATTATTGGTATGTATTTAACAGTGACTTTCCTTACACTTTAAGTTTCTGAATCACTAATTTTGAGAGTGAACAGTTGAGCCAGAGTTGATCATCTGTTCGTTGCCTCAATAGTGAAATGTTGATATTTACATTTCCTTTCCTTACCCATTTCCATAATTAGGAATAAAATGAAATCTAACTGGAGATAATGGGTATACTGTACGAACAGTATATACACTGTGTATACAGTGGACCCCCGCTTAACGATCACCTCCCAATGCGACCAATTATGTAAGTGCGTTTGTACGTGTATGTTTGGGGGGTCTGAAATGGACTAATCTACTTCACAATATTCCTTATGAGAACAAATTCAGTCAGTACTGGCACCTGAACATACTTCTGGAATGAAAAAATATCGTTAACCGGGGGTCCACTGTATTTGGTTTTACTGTACTTCAGATTAGTGATAAATAATCAGAAATGTTTGAGATTGGGCTTGTGTGGCAGTTCTTGCATATCTTTCTTTCCCAGGTATGCTTATGCCATACATATACACTACTATAATTTGTCAAGGAGGAATTTGACAAGGAGGAATAACATCTTGTAGGAGTGAGGAAGAGCCAGTTGTGAGTGTGGGGGAAGTTCGTGAGGCAGTAGGTAAAATGAAAGGGGGTAAGGCAGCCGGGATTGATAGGATAAAGATAGAAATGTTAAAAGCAGGTGGGGATATAGTTTTGGAGTGGTTGGTGCAATTATTTAATAAATGTATGGAAGAGGGTAAGGTACCTAGGGATTGGCAGAGAGCATGCATAGTTCCTTTGTATAAAGGCAAAGGGGATAAAAGAGAGTGCAAAAATTATAGGGGGATAAGTCTGCTGAGTTACCTGGTAAAGTGTATGGTAGAGTTATTATTGAAAGAATTAAGAGTAAGACGGAGAATAGGATAGCAGATGAACAAGGAGGCTTTAGGAAAGGTAAGGGGTGTGTGGACCAGGTGTTTTACAGTGAAACATATAAGTGAACAGTATTTAGATAAGGCTTAAAGAGGTCTTTGTGGCATTTATGGATTTGGAAAAGGCGTTATGACAGGGTGGATAGGGGGGCAATGTGGCAGATGTTGGAAGTGTATGGTGTAGGAGGTAGGTTACTGAAAGCAGTGAAGAGTTTTTACGAGGATAGTGAGGCTCAAGTTAGAGTATGTAGGAAAGAGGGAAATTATTTCCAGTAAAAGTAGGCCTTAGACAGGGATGTGTGATGTCACCGTGGTTGTTTAATATATTTATAGATGGGGTTGTAAGAGAAGTAAATGCGAGGGTCTTGGCAAGAGGCGTGGAGTTAAAAGATAAAGAATCACACACAAAGTGGGAGTTGTCACAGCTGCTCTTTGCTGATGACAATGTGCTCTTGGGAGATTCTGAAGAGAAGTTGCAGAGATTGGTGGATGAATTTGGTAGGGTGTGCAAAAGAAGAAAATTAAAGGTGAATACAGGAAAGAGTAAGGTTATGAGGATAACAAAAAGATTAGGTGATGAAAGATTGAATATCAGATTGGAGGGACAGAGTATGGAGGAGGTGAATGTATTCAGATATTTGGGAGTGGACGTGTCAGCGGATGGGTCTATGAAAGATGAGGTGAATCATAGAATTGATGAGGGGAAAAGAGTGAGTGGTGCACTTAGGAGTCTGTGGGGACAAAGAACTTTGTCCTTGGAGGCAAAGAGGGGAATGTATGAGAGTATAGTTTTACCAACGCTCTTATATGGGTGTGAAGCATGGGTGATGAATGTTGCAGCGAGGAGAAGGCTAGAGGCAGTGGAGATGTCATGTCTGAGGGCAATGTGTGGTGTGAATATAATGCAGAGAATTCGTAGTTTGGAAGTTAGGAGAAGGTGCGGGATTACCAAAACTGTTGTCCAGAGGGCTGAGGAAGGGTTGTTTAGGTGGTTCAGACATGTAGAGAGAATGGAGTGAAACAGAATGACTTCAAGAGTGTATCAGTCTGTAGTGGAAGGAAGGCGGGGTAGGGGTCGGCCTAGGAAAGGTTGGAGGGAGGGGGTAAAGGAGGTTTTGTGTGCGAGGGGCTTGGACTTTCAGCAGGCATGCGTGAGCGTGTTTGATAGGAGTGAATGGAGACAAATGGTTTTTAATACTTGACGTGCTGTTGGAGTGTGAGCAAAGTAACATTTATGAAGGGGTTCAGGGAAACTGGCAAGCCGGACTTGAGTCCTGGAGATGGGAAGTACAGTGCCTGCACTCTGAAGGAGGGGTGTTAATGTTGCAGTTTAAAAACTGTAGTGTAAAGCACCCTTCTGGCAAGACAGTGATGGAGTGAATGATGGTGAAAGTTTTTTTTTCGGGCCACCCTGCCTTGGTGGCAATCGGCCAGTGTGATAATAAAAAATATAAGTTGTTTTATGAATAGAATTTAAGTAGTAACTGTATTATAACTTGCAGTACAGTTAGATTTTAGTGAAATATAGTACTGTAGCAAAATCCATAATCCCATATGTAAGTCAGTGTAACATTTGTTGTATTGCAGATTTTTTATTTAAAATTTTTTTAAATGAATTGAACAAAATGAATTTGTAAAATAATTGTGCTGGTAGTTGGTACTGTATATAATAATTTATAGTTAAAAGTGTGAAACCAGCCCAAGGAAGGTTGGACTTGGAGCTTCTCAACTCCCAACTGGCCCAGGATATTCAGGATATCATGGTGATATCCTGAATATTTTTCTTGAAATATTTTGATAATTTGGGGCGGAATTTTGCATTTAAAAGATGGAGGAGGGGTATTACTTGGGTCATATTTATTTTAGTAAAAAGTTCTGACTAATGGCTGATAATATATGGTACAGTGGAACCTCGGTATATGACCAGCTCCCTACTCGAACAAAGCTCAGCACTTGACCAAACAAATACAGCCTGCCAGAACTTTTCTGTAAACTATTTTGTGTTTCTTTGCAATTTTTTTTTTTTTTTTTTTTTGTATTTGTACAAATAAGTCACCATGGGGCCTACAACAATTAGTGATAACAGCCAACCAAACAGAAAATTGGTTGGGAAGAACTTGTTCGATACTCAAACAGAGCGGCACTCGAACAGCCTTCTGGAATGAATTAAGGTCACATACTGAGGTTCCACTGTATATACCTTATGTATGACTCATTTGCTATAATTCTTGACTTACATTAATACTGAGTTTCCCTACAAGGTGGGAAGCTTGCCTTAAGAATCGTGGACGTAATTCAACACAGTCTACGGAAGACCAACAGCTTGTTGCTGCTGTCAGTGTGGCTGGGGAAGTTTTCTCTTTCCTTTCAGAGGTCTCCTGCTTTTATCATGATGTATTTTTAAGGCAAGTACTGTTCTGTGCGTGTGTGTGTGCATGTGTTTGTGTACTTGCCTATGTAGTTGCGGGCCCTCTTAGCTTGGGGCATTCCCGTCAACTTGCGCTTGCCAATCACTCCCCCCTAGCTGCATGGGCCCTTTGTATCTATTTTAAAACTGTATGGAGTCTGCCTCCCACTTCTTCAAAAGGGCATACACCCCCCCGACCACCTAAGTCTGGGAAATGCTTCCTACATCCTGTACTCCCCCCAAAAATTTTCCGTTTTAGCCCGTTTCCTCCCTCTGAAACAGCCTTCCCTGTTTCCCCTATAAATTCCTTTTAAAGATTTTTGTATGTTTTATTTTTCCGGGTCTTTCTGCTCTCCAGCGTCTTTAAGTTTAAATTTTCTCGAGCTTTTTCATAGCTTTATCCTTAATCTGAAAATAGCCCTTGCATACTTCTGCATTTTTCCAATTATTTATAATTTGTATTGTCAGTTCTGCCCCTTAACCTTTAATTTTTTAAATAATAACTCGCCCATACACTTGACCTGGCGAATATTCAACATCTTATTTTTTTTTTTTTTTATTCTTTTTTTCCTTTTAACATTTTTTTTCCAAAAAGTCAACCGCTCCCACCGAGGCGGGGTGACCCAAAAAAAAATCCCCAAAAAAAATACTTTCACACTTAAACACTTTCACCTCACTCACACTAATCATGTTTTTGCAGAGGTGCCCAGATAAACAGTTTAGAAGTATAAGTAAAAAAACACAATATTTTCCTTTTACTAGGAATATATGCTTGTTTTAACTACCTCTTGAGGTTTCCTCTCCTGAGTGGGGGTTATTTTGAATTGTGAAAGGCATAAAAATTTTTTTGAAGAATTTAAATAGTTTGGTTTTTAATATATATATAAAAATTATTTTTTTTTTTTTTTTTTTTTTTTTTTTTTTTTTTTAAACAAGTCGGCCGTCTCCCCCCGAGGCGGGTGACCCAAAAAAGAAAAAAAACCCCAAAAGAAAATACTTTTCCCATCATTCAACATTTCCCACACCGCATTATACTGTTTTGCAGAGGTGCCAGAAAAACAACAGTCTAAACATAACATATAAAGATACAAAAACATACCCCTCCAAACTGCCAATATCCAAACCCCTCCTTTAAAGTCGGCATTGTACCCCATTTCCAGGACTCAAGTCCACATAGAAAAAAACCCGGTTTCCCGAACCCCTTCACTAAATTTTCCCCTTTCTCACACCCCAACGATCGCGGGTCCCAAGTACCTTCCCCCCTCCATTCACTCCTATCAACACGCTCACGCACGTTTGCGGGAAAGTCCAACCCCCTTCCCCAAAAAAACCCCTTTTACCCCCCTCTCTCCAACCCGCCTTCCTTCCCCTAAGATTTATATGCTTTCCATGTTTCTACTTTAAACCATTCTCTCTAAATGACCAAACCCACCTCCCCCTCTTCGCCCTCTGACTAATACTTTTATTAACCCACCCCCTTCTCCTAATTTCCACACTCCGAATTTTCTCATAATATTTAACCACACAGCCTGAAACAGGACACCCCATGCCTCCAACCGTCTCCTCGCTGCTGCTTTTAAACCCAAGTTTCACACCCTTTTAAAAAGTTTTGGGTATACAACTTTTTAATTCCCTTCTTTGCCTCCAAGATAACGTTTTTTTGACCCCATATCCCCAATGCACCACCCCCTTTTTTTTCCCCTCATCAATTCTATGTTTAAACCCCATCCTTCATAAATCACCCGCCGACACTCAACCCCCAAGTATTAAAAAACATTCACTTCTTCCATACTCCCCCCCCCAAATTTTGATATCCAATTTGTCTTTATCAATCATTTGACCCCTCATCACCTTACTCTTTTCTATGTTCATTTTCAACTTTCTACCTTTCACCTTCCCCAAAACTCATCCACAACCTTTGAAATTTTTCTTTAGAATCTCCCATAACCAGTAATCAGAAAAAAGAACCTGCAATTCCCATTTTGAATTTGATTCCCCCATAATTTAACCCCCACCCCTCTCCCAAACACCCACATTTATTCCTTTACAACCCCATTATAAAAAATATTAAAAAAACCAGGTGACATTACACACCCCTGTCTAAGACCTACTTTTACCGGAAGTAGCCCCTCTTTCTACACACCCAACCTGAGCCCCTATCCTCATAAAAATTTTTAAAGCATTTAAAAAATTACCACAAAATCCATATACTTGCAACACTCCCACTTGTCCCTATCCACTCTATTAGCTTTTCTAAATCCATAAAGCAAAAAAAACTTCCCTACTTTATCTAAATACGTTAAATAATCTTCAATGAAAAACACCTGACTACACACCCCCTACCCCTCAAAAAACCTTTTCTCATCCCAATCCTAATTCGTCACCTCAATTTTTTAAATTATAACCCTACCGTACATTTTCCGGTATACTCAGTAAGCTTATTCCCAAATTTTTTTACAGTCTTTTTTGCCCCTTTCCCTTTATTTTAAAGGGACAACTGCTCCTGCCAACCCTAGGTACCTTCCCCCTTCATAATTTATTAACAAAAGCCCCAACCCTCCAACACTATATCCCCCCCTGCTTTTAACTTTCGTCATATCCATCTTTCCAGCGCTTTACCCCCTTTCATTTACGAATGCCTCACTCCCTCCCCCACATTTACATTTCCTCTTCTTCACCCAAAAGAGGGTATACCTCCCCGCCCAGTCATGAAATTACTGCCTCTTTTTCTTCCTTAACATTTAAAAGTTCCCAAAATTTTTCCGCCATCTACCCAATACCTCCCTCCCCACTACTAACTCCCCTACTCTTTTTTAACTGACAAATCCATATTTCCCTGGGCTTTTAACTTTTTTAACTACCCAAAATTTTTTTTCTTTTTTTTCATTAAATTTCTTGACGTGCCCCCCTCTATCATCTGCCTCCTTTTGCACTTCCTCACCACTCTCTTTACCTTTCTTTACTCTCCATATACTCTGCCTTCTTTAAACTTTGCTTTGTAAAAACCCCTCATAACTACCTTTTTTCTCTTTTATCACACCCTTTACTTCTCATTCCCCATCACTCCCTTTCCTCCGCCCCCACCCTCCTATAACCACAAACTTCTGCCCCCCTTCTAATACGCATTTTTAAACTATTCCAAACCCTCTTCAAACCCCCCCCTATCTCTTTTTCACTACCCACCTTTCTGCCAATAGTGCTTTTATCTCACCCGAACTTCCCCCTCCCTTTTTTATACACTTTCACCTCCCTTTATTGTTGTTGCCACCTTCCTCTTTTCCCCCCCCTACCTTAACTGAGCTACAACAAATAATACCGAAATCAGTTCCCCTCTATAAACATGTCATCCTGGAGCCCCACCCATCAACCCCTTTTTCCACCAAAACATAATCAATAAATACTTTTATACGTGCTACCAAAACCTTGTATATTATTTTTCCTTTTTTATAAAATATGTATTATTATTACCCAAAAAAACTTTCTACACAAGCCCAAATTTAAAGGGTCCCCATTTTACATTTTCCCCTGGCCCCCAAATTTTCCTAAACTCCCTTCCATAACATTTTTCCCACTTTAGCATTTAAATCCCCCCAAACCCCATTTCTCTCAACTTTTATTCAAAACTCCCCCCCGCATTCACCAACTTTCCCAAAATCCTCTCCTCCCTACACTTCTCTCTTTTCCAGGTCATAACGCTTATTATAAACCCCCTTTTCACATCCAATCTTTATTTTACCCACATAATCCTTGAAATTTAAAACATTTTTAGTCCTCTTTCCCGCCATAGCTTATCCCTTTAACATTATTGCTACCCTTTTTTAGCTCTAACTCTATTTGAAACCCCTGCCCCAACCCATTTTTTTCCTCTCCCCTGAAACTCTCCCCCCCCCTTTAGTTTTGTTTTTTTTAAAACCAGGACATCCAGCTTTTTTCTCATTCATAACACCCCACATCTTTCTTTTCATTTTCCCCAACATCCACGCACTTCAAATTCCCACTTTGAAATTTTTTTCTTTTTTTATAATCTTTACAGGAAAAGGGGTTACTAGCCCTTTGTTCCGGGATTTAGGACTTTTTCAACCGGGTGGCTTGCGGAGGAAAGTTTTTATTCCCTTCCCCATGGAAAAAAAAGGAAAATTAATAAGCCAAAAAAATATTAAGAAAAATCAAAGAAAACTCAGTGATGTGTATAAATAAATTTTAATTAGTGTAGGCGACCTAATGTAATAGAAGTAGCAAGAATGCCGTAAACTTGCATTTTAGAGACAGACAAAGCATCAGCAAACCACCATCATGTAAAACAATCACAGGGTCGTTTTACACCACTTTGGGAGGACGGTAGTACCTCCCTGGGTGGGTTGCTGTCACCAACCCACTACCTATGTAATGTATATTAATAATATATATTATATAAATTTTAATATATAATAATATATATAAATTAAAAATTATATATAATATATATATTTTTTATCACACGGCCCATTCCCACCAAGGGAAATATATATATATAAATATATATATATAAAAATATTATTATATATAATATATGTATAATATATTGATATATTATATATATATATTTATATATATATATTTAATTTGTATAATATATATATATTAAGTATACATATATATATGTATATTATAAAATATATATATATATATATATATATAATGTATATATAATTATGTATATGTTTTACAATATATATATATATAAAAATATATATATATATATATATATATATTTTAAAATAATATATATATATTATAGTATAAAAAAGTATAATAATATATTATATTTTAAAAAAATATAAGTAATATATTTTATATATATAGTTACATATATGTATATTATATATGTTAATATATGATATATAAATTTTTGTATCATAATGTATATAAATTTTTATATAATTATACATATAGTATATTTAAAATAATATAGTATACTATTGTTATATAATATATATGTATACATAAGTTAATATAAATTTTTGTATATATATATGATATATAATTTTATGTATATATATATTATATAAATATTTTATATTTTTATACATATATATATATATATATAATATAGTATACATTATTTTATTATATATTAGTATACATAATTTTATTATAAATAAGTATACATATTGTATATATATATATAAATGTATACATTTTGTATATTATATATAAAATGTATACTATATGTATATATAAAAATATGTATACTATATGTATATATATATATAATGTTACAAATGTTTTATATAAAATTTGTATACATTAGTTTTTAATATAATGATAATATAATTATAATATTATAATTATAATATTTATATATAATTTTTATATAATATAATTAAAATTATATTAATATTATATTTTTATATAAGTTTATGTATATTAAAAATTTATATGTTTTTATGTTATATATGTTTTAAATTTTATATTTGTATATTATATAATGTAAAAAAAGTTTTTAAAGTATATTTTTAAAAATTTTAAAGTATATGTATACATATTATTTTTTTTTTTTTTTTTCAACAAGTCGGCCGTCTCCCACCGAGGCAGGGTAAAATATACAATAACTTTAAAACACTTGAAATTTTGGAAAGTTTCCACACATAATAAGGAGATGTGCTCAGGGAGAATGTAAACAAACTCGTGGGCAGCTGTGACCGTATTAGAAAGACAGGTGGGGGGAGCCGTATAGCGAGTTTTGGTCATAATTTGAAATGTCCGTATTAGCGGAACACCGTAAAGCGAACCGCTGTAAAGCGTGGCCCTGCTGTATAATATATATATATATATATATATATAAATTATATATATATATATATATATAAATATATATATATATATATATATATATTATACAGCAGGCCACGCTTTACAGCGGTTCGCTTTACGGTGTTCCGCTAATACGGACATTTCAAATTATGACCAAAACTCGCTATACGGCTCCCCCCACCTGTCTTTCTAATACGGTCACAGCTGCCCACCGAGTTTGTTTACATTCTCCCTGAGCACATCTCCTTTTTTATGTCTGGAAACTTTCCAAAATTTCAAGTGTTTTAAAGTTATTGTATATTTTATATGTATTGTACTTGATAATTAAACTTGTGTACACCTGTACCTAAATAAACTTACACACTGTGCTGGCATGTAGGTACACATTAAAATCACTAAGTCTCTCTACTCTTGATGCAATAATAATAATAATAGTAATAATAATAATAATCTCTTGGGCGCATTAATGTCGCATATTACGTTAATATAGACATTCCTTAATCTATCTATGATATTTTTTTCAAAATTATATAAGAAACACATTATGTAACACAAACATGATACATGCACCCACAGTATAAAAATTTATACAAATATATATGAGATGTTTACCAAACGGTTTGTAGAAGTGTCAGAAGAATTACGTTTTCTCTAGCCCGTCACCTGTTACTAGGGATAACTGTAGAAAAAATATTCCTTTCGTATGCCTTCACTTTATAGCTATAATTCTGTACTAACTTGTACACAGTGTAAGAGTATTTGTTTCGTGATTTAATTATTATAATAATAAAAATATTATTAGGTAAAAGTTTCACAAACTCGTACAAATGTACATGAATGAACTAAAACTGGACACGTATTAATACCGTCTATTTCGCCTGACCGAGTGATCGTCCACAACCTGTTCAGTTTGTTTGTTTACGCTGTCTGAGCTCGGTGTATCATTAAATGTTGTATATTACGTTAATATACACATTTTCATTAATCCATCCGTGATACTTTTTTCAAAATTATATAATAAACACGATACATAACATAAATACATAACATGTGTGTAGAGAACCTAGGATAACCCAAAAAAGTGACTTACTTCCATTGCCTTCACTCAGAGCATCATTTCTTCTCAAAATGATGTTACATGAGAATGGGAGTGTTCTTCTTTATTTATTCTACCGTATCAATGTAGAGACAACCTGTACACAATGTAACTTGTACACAAACCAGACGTGTACACTGTTTACAAAACTTACCTTCGCCTGGTTTGTTTACATAACTTTGCGCCTGTCCTCTCTCATGCACTCATTCTTTCTGACTCAAGAAATCGTAATGACACGATTGCAAATAAACCATACCCCCGGCCGGGATTGAACCCGCCATCATAGTCTCAAAACTCCAGCCCGTCGCGTTAGCCACTAGACCAGCTAGCCACAATAAGATTCATCCAACTAGGTATATTTCTACACCATAGGAAAGTTAGCACAGGCACCTCTGTGACCACAAATGCATGTTTTTACAGACGAATCTCCAGCTAGCGTGGCCGTGACGAACTCTAGCTCAAGTCCCTTCACTGCCGTCAACATGACTCAAGAAATCGTAATGACACGATTGCAAATAAACCATACCCCCGCGGGTTCAATCCCGGCCGTGGGTATGGTTTATGACCCATTCTTTCTCTCTGGTATGGTAGCCTGGCTGACTACCATACATACCACACTTGATTTTTTACAATAAATACTACTCATCTCACCCTATATTTTAAGGTAAGTAATGAGTGAACTGTATATACATTTTATTGCTCTGGGATGCTTAAATATCATAGAATAGTATGTGTGGGTGGGGTGGCCTGGTATGGTAGCCTGGCTGACTACCATACATACCACACTTGATTTCTTACAATAAATACTACTTGTCTCACCCTAGATTAAGACTATAAATATTTTAAGGTAAGTAATGAGTGCACTATGTGTGTATTGTACTTTTTTATTGTTTTTTTGATGCCTGGTTCTATTGCTAACATAATATATGTTAGTGTAAAACTTGTTATCTAGTGTTTGTATGCATTTGTAAGTGGAAAAAAAGGGTGTTCCACTTTACGGCAGTTTCCGCTTTACGGCGGTAGCCTGGAACCTAACCCTCCATATAAGTGGGGCCCTCCTGTATGTATATAAAAAAAAATATTGTGTGTGTGTCATGGATGTAAACCTAGTTTTCCCATATGTTCTTCAGTCCACATGCTGCTATTTCATGCAAAATGCATGTTTTCAGGAACATAACTTGCCATAATCCAAGATTTTATTGTAGTAAGATTACTGTGTGTAAATATAAATATTATACATACAAGCTTTGCAGTTGTAAGCAAAGGGTATATTCTTATTCATACCCATTTTAACAGGTATATTTCTTTCTTTCAGGGAGGCTGAGATCTCTTATTTAAGATTAACATACATCCTTTTGACATCAGAACTTGCTGCTCGTGTGAGACCTCTTCTTATAAAGATATATATGCTGCTCCACCTACTTCAAGTTTGCAGCATGTTGAAGCTGACCGACAATCATTAGAAGCTGGCACACCAGTGTGGCAACTTTATAAGAAGCTAGAAAGTATCCTAAAGTATGTATGTGCCACAATTGGCTTTATTCATTTGATTTTTTTTTTTATAATAAAAGTACATGCTGCTTATGTACACTGATTTGTTATGCTGGAGTGATCTACCATATTGGAGTGCTCTATTACTGGGATGAAATATTAGATTACTCTATTACTGGGATGAAATATTAGATTTGGATAATTATTTACAGATAAATACAATTTATAATAAATGACAAAACTTATAAATTATGAATGGGATTACAGGCAGCATTTTCAGAAAGTCAACTCAAGTTCTCTCAATATTCCTTTCCTTTATTCTCTACCACCATATCATGATGTAGTTTCCAGAAGTCTAGCAACCTATTTTTCAGCCATAATCCTTTCACTAGCCATACCCCTGAAATGAACATTGCTTTGTGTCTCACATTTAAAAAAAAACTTCTGAAATGGTACAGAATCTTTTTCTGAAGGTAATGACACCAAAAATGCAAAATTTGGTGAAAAACTTGTGGAATTATGCAAGCACGAAGTTAGGGGTCTGGGCACAATTTACTCATCGGTGATTTTGCCCGAATTGAGTTTATTTTAAACCAATTCCTGTGCTCCATTTGATGAAATTCTTAACTATTTTGCTAGTATGTCTTCCATTCTGTCAGTTAAGCACAAAAACTACCATATAACTACCAGAATCATGCTATAAAGCAGTGGTTCCCAACCTTGGGTGGAAGATGGAATTTCAGGGGTATGACGAAGTGTCTTAAACTGTCCACACGTAGATCTACATTGACGTGCACAGTGCTTCGAACATAGATCAACATTTTATTTTTCATTCCTTCAATTTGGCAGGATAGGCCTGAGTTGCCTAGACATGAGAGAATGTGTCTGCACACTCAGTGTGCGCATTATGAAAAAAATCGGGGACCACTTAATACCTTGTGGGAGCACCAGTTCAATGGAGTGCCAGCTAGAGCAAATAGTGTGGCAAACACCAGGGATTCACTGATGTCATGTCGTATTAATACTCCCCATTTAACCCTTTCAGGGTCGACAGGCCCTCTCAGAGACTTGTTCTCAGGGTCAGCCAAATTTCAAAAAAAAAAAAAAAAAAAAAAAATTCTTATGAAAAGATAGAGGATCTTTTCCTGATCACAATGACACCAAAAGTATGAAATTTGATGGAAAACTTACGGAATTATGCTCTCGCAAAGTTAGCGGTCTCGACGATGTTTACGCATCGACGATTTTGCCCACTTTGAGCCCTATTTTTGGCCAATTCCAGTGTACTTGTCGACAAAAATCATAACTATTTCGCTAGAACTCCATTTTTTCTATCGAATGAGTACAAGAAACCACCCATTTACCAATTTGAACTATCCAATACAGTGGTCAGAATTTAGCAATTTTGCCAATTTCACCCAAATTTCAAAAGATGCCAATTTCCGAATAGGGTCCAGAATAAACAAGAAAGACATTCCTGGCACTAAAATAACATTTCTTCTATTCATTAGTCATGTTCCCATGCCCCTCTTACATTCTTTTGCTTTCCACTTTGAATTTTTATTCTCACAAAAAAATAGAAGATTTACTGTTATGCAGACTACTGCATTAGTGTAGAAATGGTATAAATAATATCAGCGCATTTGTGAAAGAATATTAGACTCGCCAGTTAATGTGTATTGGACGCATAGCATGATTTGTTTACTTTTGAACTTTGGTAAAAATCAAACATTTCTGCTACTTTGAGCTCAATTTCAAAATCCTCTCAATTTCTGTAATATGTCTTCCATTCTATAAAATGAGACCAGGAAAACTAGAATACAACAATAAATACCATACGAAAATACAGTGCAAAGTCGCTGTTTTAATCCAAAAACACGGTCAAAGTTTTTTTTTCTCATTATGCACTGTGTGCTGCAGGATTTTTTTTATACCATGCACACTGACCACATAGACCCATTCTTTCATATGTAGGCCTATCAGCTTTCTCTCACTAGATTTGAGGGCGCTAGAATTTAGGCGTACTAGTATGTCAAAAACCCTGGTGCGTAAGCCGTACTAGTACGGCCGAAACCCTGAAAGGGTTAAGAGGAAAGTAAAAATAGGTTAGATGAATACATAAGTGGGTGTAGGTGGATGTGAGTTGGACCTGACTAGCTTGTGCTACTAGGTCTGATGCTGTGCTCCATCCTTCAGTGGATGTGACCTGACTAGGCGAGTCATTGGTCTAAGCCAGGGGGTGACATGGACCTGCCTTGCATGGGCCAGTAAGCCTGCTGCGGTGTTCCTTCTTTCTTATGTTATCATGCATTCGGCAGGCTGGCCAGCTGGCTTTGGCTGTCTCTGTATCTGTCTATCTCTCTCTCTCACATGTACACATAAGTACAGTTATTGTACATAGTGTAAATTACTGAGGATAACCCAAAAATTCCAGGCAAAGTGCTATACAGTGTTTGTAGATTTTTTTTTTTCTCTCAACAAGTTGGCCGTCTCCCACCGAGGCAGGGAGACACAAAAAGAAAGAAAATCCCCAAAAAGAAAATACTTTCATCATTATTCAACACTTTCACCTCACTCACACGTGATCACTGTATTTGCAGAGGTGCCCATATACAACAGTTTAGAAGCGTATATAACAATGCCCCTCCAAACTGCCAATATCCCAAACCCCTCCTTTAACCCTTAAACTGTCCAAACGTAGATCTACGTTCACTTGCGTGGCGCTCCAAATATTTTGAAAAATAAAATTTTTTTTTCTTTTAAAATGTAGAGCACATTTTTCTACATGTTATAGGATTAAAAAACAATTTTAAGGTCAGTACTTACCGAGATAAAAAAACTGTGAAGTTGGCTCTGGATGCTCACCTGACAGCAACATCGACTCCTGCCGCTTGCAGAAGTGTTGCCGATATACTTGTTTTTCTTGTTTTTATTTTAATTTATATATTTTCTATTATTTATTTTTATTTTATTATCACACTGGCGGATTCCCACCAAGGCAGGGTGACCTGAAAAAGAAAAACTTTCACCATCATTCACTCCATCACTGTCTTGCCAGAAGGGTGCTTTACACTACAGTTTTTAAACTGCACCATTAACACCTCTCCTTCAGATTGCAGGCACTGTACTTCCCATCTCCAGGACTCAAGTCCGGCCTGCCGGTTTCCCTGAACCCCTTCATAAATGTTACTTTGCTCACACTCCAACAGCACATCAAGTATTAAACACCATTTGTCTCCATTCACTCCTATCAAACACGCTCATGCATGACTGCTGGAAGTCCAAGTCCCTCGCACACTAAACCTCCTTTACCCCCTCCCTCCAACCTTTCCTAGGCCAACCCCTACCCCGCCTTCTTTCCACTACAGACTGATACACTCTTGAAGTCACTCTGTTTCGCTCCATTCTCTCTACATGTCCGAACCACCTCAACAACCCTTCCTCAGCCCTCTGGACAACAGTTTTGGTAATCCCGCACCTCCTCCTAACTTCCAAACTACGAATTCTCTGCATTATATTCACACCACACATTGCCCTCAGACATGACATCTCCACTGCCTACAGCCTTCTCCTCGCTGCAACATTCATCACCCATGCTTCACACCCATATAAGAGCGTTGGTAAAACTATACTCTCATACATTCCCCTCTTTGCCTCCAAGGACAAAGTTCTTTGTCTCCACACACTCCTAAGTGCACCACTCACCCTTTTCCCCTCATCAATTCTATGATTCACCTCATCTTTCATAGACCCATCCGCTGACACGTCCACTCCCAAATGTCTGAACACATTCACCTCCTCCATACTCTCTCCCTCCAATCTGATATTCAATCTTTCATCACCTAATCTTTTTGTTATCCTCATAACCTTACTCTTTCTTGTATTCACTTTTAATTTTCTTCTTTTGCACACCCTACCAAATTCATCCACCAATCTCTGCAACTTCTCTTCAGAATCTCCCAAGAGCACAGTGTCATCAGCAAAGAGCAACTGTGACAACTCCCACTTTGTGCGATTCTTTATCTTTTAACTCCACGCCTCTTGCCAAGACCCTCGCATTTACTTCTCTTACAACCCCATCTATAAATATATTAAACAACCACCATGACATCACACATCCTTGTCTAAGGCCTACTTTTACTGGGAAATAATTTCCCTCTTTCCTACATACTCTAACTTGAGCCTCACTATCCTCGTAAAAACTCTTCACTGCTTTCAGTAACCTACCTCCTACACCATACACCTGCAACATCTGCCACATTGCCCCCCTATCCACCCTGTCATACGCCTTTTCCGAATCCATAAATGCCACAAAGACCTCTTTAGCCTTATCTAAATACTGTTCACTTATGTTTCACTGTAAACACCTGGTCCACACACCCCCTACCTTTTCTAAAGCCTCTTTGTTCATCTGCTATCCTATTCTCCGTCTTACTCTTAATTCTTTCAATAATAACTCTACCATACACTTTACCAGGTATACTCAACAGACTTATCCCCCTATAATTTTTGCACTCTTCTTTTGCATGCTCTCTGCCAATCCCTAAGTACCTTACCCTCTTCCATACATTTATTATATAATTGCACCAACCACTCCAAAACTATATCCCCACCTGCTTTTAACATTTCTATCTTTATCCCATCAATCCAGGCTGCCTTACCCCCTTTCATTTTACCTACTGCCTCACGAACTTCCCCCACACTCACAACTGGCTCTTCCTCACTCCTACAAGATGTTATTCCTCCTTGCCCTATACACGAAATCACAGCTTCCCTATTTTCATCAACATTTAACAATTCCTCAAAATATTCCCTCCAGCAACCACCCAGGTAAGTACTACTGTCCTGCCAGATGACTGTGAAACAGAAACCTGTAACTGTTTTGCATGATGGTAGGATTGCTGGTTTCTTTTTCTGTCTCATAAACACGCTAGATAACAGGGATATCTTGCTACTCCTACTTACACCTTGGTCACACTTTACAGACACGCACATGCATATGTATATACACATACATTTAGGTT